ATGAATTGTATACTACATAATTATTAGAATTTATCACTTAACTCACTCGATATATAATATAATAGTTGGTTTAATAACTTGATTTTAATAAATCGTTTTAATAAATTACATAGATTATATAATTCTTCTAATCTATTTTTATCTTAATAATATATTAATGTTGAAATCTTATGTATTAAGATTAATATATTAATAATAAGACATATGTAAATATAAATATTCTAATTTTTCTTTACACTAGTTTTTCAATTGGCCGACAATGGGTACAACGGTTAGATAATTGTTATAAAACATCTGCTCGAACGCACATGTTTCTTTGTTTCCATCAAAAATTTTAGAATTTTAACTCTTCATTGTAATAAAGAATAATAGTGCGTTCAACATAACATAATCATAATAATATATTTTTGAACTTATGATAGAGAAAAACGATTATAAAATTCATTCTACATTATTCTATATTATACATTATCGTTATACATTATCATTATACATTATTTTACTAAATTTTCGTTAGCTTTCATGAAATGGACATTTACGATCTACCCGCTATATTCGAATATATTATGAAAATAACATAGTAATAATTGTATGCGTATATCGGTTATTTATTGGACAATCATGTTTAACGTGATGACAACGGAATGTCCAAAAATCGCTTCATCGGTGGAAATAACAATTGGCCTTGCTCCCGTAATTTATGTAGAACATATGAAAAGTTCGATATTTAAAATTCTCGCCGATTTTGCGGAAATTATTCAGGTAAAGTTTTTCGAAAATACGCTAATCTAGTTGCGTTTCCTATCAAGTGCTGAATGTTGTTGAATTCCGTTTCGTTTTTTCTTCCTCTCCTCTACATCTGTTTAGTTTTGTTTCACGTTAATTCTTGATGTTAATTAGCTTTTGTGTCTAGTACAATATTTTTTCTAATGTTAGAAATAAATCTGTTGGCCCTGTTGTTTAGAAAGCTTTTTGCTTTATTTGTATTGCTGAGTGGTTGTAAGATTGTTATTGTCTCAATCTTCTCAAGACATAATGTTACGTCACTCTTAGAAAAGTGTGCTCTAAAAATAATAACACTTTCTTTATACTTATATATTGATTCGTAAAATTTATTTCAAGAGATCGATATATACTTTCCTAAGTTGCTATTGCTTTCTTATCCGTCCGTCCGTCTATGTGTCTACTTTTGTTAGCTCAAGAGATTTGAGAGACAAAAAATGAATCTAAATACTACACTTATAATATTGTTTCTATTAAAATATTGTCTATTAAAATATTGTTTCTATTAAATATTGTCTTTATTTATTATTATAATATTTTTATATTATATTAATATTACAATATTATTATTACATTGATCCTTAAACATCTTTAGTAGAAAGAAAAAGAAAAGATGTGAAAAAGATTATCTAATTATAAGCATAGCGTAAAATCTATCTTTTTTTATTATATTCTCTTTTCTCAAGAATTTTTATTAGAATCTTTATTAGAATTATTTTAAATTATACTTTACATAATGGACATAAGAAGAAACATTTAACTGAGAGAAAAATGTAGTTAATAAATATTTGTCTAAGTAGTACGTACTGAATATTTACTAAATAGGAATATATATTTATTTAGTATGAAAACAATTAATTTTATTTATA